CAACATTATAATAACCGGCGACTTCAACGCAAACTTACTAAATAATAATAATAACCACTCTATTCACCTTCGCAACTTACTAACTACTTACAATCTTACACAGAGTGTCGCCAATCCTACCTTTTTCACTGAATCGTCTTCCTCTCTCCTAGATATAGTCTGTGCTAGTGACCCATCCTTAGTTAACTTATGTCATGTCGGTGAAAGCTTCCTAGACCAGCCTATTAGATATCATTGCCCAGTATATGGTAGCCTTAATATATCCAAACCCATTCAATCATGTTTTAAACGTAACATTTTGTTATATGACCTCGGTGACTATGACGATTACAGAGACAAGCTTTCTAAAATTGACTGGGACAGCATTCTAGATAATAATAACATAGACAGATGTACTGACCTACTTACTGACATTATACTTAAGACGGCTAGAGAATGTATACCGAATAAGACTATAACTGTAAGAAGTAACGCTCCCGCATGGTTAAACAACAGAGTAAGAAAACTGATCCGAAAAAGAAAATACCTTCATCGAAAAGCTAAGCATTCTGGTAAAGTAGACGACTGGGCAAAATTTAGAAAATTCAGAAATACTTGTATAAACGCCATTCGTAATTCCAAACGGGACTATTTTAACAAACTCTGTGATAAACTCAACTATAATACTAACACTTGTGCCAAGGAATGGTGGAAAATTATAAATGGTTTTATGTCTAACTCTAAAAGAAAAGGCGGCATTCCTCCTATTTCTGCCAATAACGACATTTTTTATGACGATCTCGATAAAGCAAACGCCTTTAACACTTTTTTCTCCTCACAATCTACTATTAATGACTCTAATATTGATCCCCCTGTTCTAAACTATTCTCATACTCACATACTTTCCGACATTGTTATATCTCGTCAAGACGTTCTTGATGCAATACAGTCCCTTGACATGAAGAAAGCCTCTGGTCCCGACCTTATAAGTCCTCGTTTGATTAAGGAAGCTGCCGATATTCTTAGCTATCCACTACAAATCCTATTTAACCGTTCGCTCACTGAATGTATTTTTCCGTCATCTTGGAAAACTGCTCATGTGACACCAGTATTTAAAAAAGACGATCCATCTACTTTAAGTAATTATCGTCCTATCTCTCTATTATCAATTGTTGGGAAAATGTTGGAACGCTGTGTATATAAATATGTTTACAACTATCTTATTGATAAATCTTTATTAACACCCTTCCAGTCTGGTTTCAGATCCGGTGATTCCACTATAAATCAACTTCTATCTATTTCTAATGATATCTTCTCTGCTCTTGATAAAGGTAAAGAAGTCCGAATGGTCTTCTGTGATATCAGCAAAGCGTTTGACCGAGTATGGCATCGAGGCCTTCTTTCTAAACTAAAATCTTTCGGCATCACAGGAAATGTTTTTACTTGGTTCTCAGATTACTTACATAATCGCTGTCAACGTGTTGTTATAAATGGTAAACAATCTTATTTAGCATATATCACAGCAGGAGTTCCACAGGGATCAATTTTAGGTCCACTGCTCTTTTTAATCTTTATAAATGATATTGTCAAAGACATCGATTGTACTATAAAGCTATTTGCTGACGATACGTCTCTATATGTCAAAGTGGAGTCACCGGGTCCGACCGCAAACCTGTTAAATAATAATCTAATGAAAATTCACGATTGGTCTAAAACTTGGCTTGTAAATTTTAATCCTAACAAAACTGTAACAATGACTGTTAGTAAGAAACTCGAAAAACCGATCCATCCCTCTCTGTATATGAACAACATTTCTTTAACTGAAGTCACTTGCCATAAACATCTCGGTATCTCTATCTCAGCCAATGGAAGTTGGAGTGACCATATTCAAAACATTATTAGTAAAGCCTCTAAAAAACTTAGCATAATTAGGAATCTAAAATTTATCATTGATAGAAAGTCTCTTCAAACGATATATTATACTTTTATAAGACCCTTATTAGAATATGGTGATATTGTATGGGACAACATAACTTTAGGCCAAAGCCAGTTGATTGAAAACATACAACTCGAAGCAGCCAGAATCGTGACTGGGGCAACCAAACTCACAAGTCACGACAGACTATATGCAGAATCTGGTTGGGACCCCCTTATTGTCCGAAGGAGAAAACACAAATTAATCCAATTTCATAAGATTGTTCATGGTCAGTGCCCTTCTTATCTTGCTAACGTTCTACCTGCTCGCCATTCAAATATACATACTTACAATACAAGAAGGGCTAACAACTTCTGTCAAGTCAACTGTCGAACTAATCTATATAAAGACTCTTTCCTCCCCTCTTCTGTTGATTTATGGAATGCACTACCAGATAACGTAAAATACAATCCCTCAATTACTAACCTCAAAAAAATTCTTAATGCCGACACTCTCTCTGTTCCTCAGCACTATTACTACTGCAGAAGCAGACAAGGTCAGATCCATCATGCACGACTTAGGATGAACTGCAGCTCCTTAAACACTCACCTGTTTGCACGAAACTTAGTTGATAGTCCCATGTGCTCATGTAATTTGTCTATTGAAACTACAGAACATTTCCTCCTCCAATGTCCTAACTACCAGCAGCTGAGAATCCAATGTTTTAGTCGCCTACCTCCTAACTATAATGTAAGCTTTTTACTTTATGGTAGACCCGAACTACCAATTCACTTAAATGAAATTATTTTTGACTGTGTTCAAAACTTCATCTTTCAGTCTAGACGTTTTTAAAGAAACTTAAACTTCATTCATATCAGTAATCATGTTTGTTGTGGTTTGTATTCATGCAATCAGCGTTTGTTCTCTCAATGCAGTTTTGATGCCCATCGCTTCCCCATCAAACATCATCCCCCATCCCACTATAAATCCTTGCACCCTTTCTCTTTCTTTTCCCTGCACATGTTATACTTTATATATATTTATATTTATTTATATGAATTATGATATTGTCAGTACTGATCCATAGCTGCTGTTATGTCTATAAGGAGACGGATTTACATAAGTACTATGTACTTGTTTCTGGATCCTTTTCTGTATTTATAACCATGTACTATTTTAATTAAACATCAACTAAATAAAAAAAAAAATAAAAAAAAAACATTGGCGATCTATCAACAATGCACATTTTATACTCGTGAGTCGTACACAACGGGACATCGTTCAAGTGCTCCGGTAGGCATGCAACAATGCAACATCTGTACGCCCATCATTGCTTGTGAAGTCACGATAGCTGTACACAACCTAGGAAAGGTTATGATAGTATTTTAATACAGAATAACAATTTAGTTTGTTAGCATTGTTCGGTTGTTGTTGTTGTTGTTGAAATGTCGCCACTCATTTGTTTCTCTCCCTTTTAGTTTAAACATATTTTATTGCCAAAAAATGCAAAAGGATTGGGCACAAGTTACATGAACATTATTAACGCCCTTTCCTTATAAGAAAAATAATTGTGTATACGCATCATAACATGGCTTTCATAGTGTGAATTACTACATTTATCTATTATTGAGAGAGAGAGAGAGAGAGAGAGAGAGAGAGAGAGAGAGAGAGAGAGAGATTATTACTTATTCATTGCGGTATATATGTACATCCTCAATATTCAACATATAATGCACACATTTACTCGACGGTAAGTGGAACTATTTACAGAAATAACGTAACGCACATTTACACACTCACTCGCATACATTCAAGCACACGCACACTCCTTGCATTCACGCTCTCGTGCACTTAAAAGAAAGTTAAACATTACAGAGGATTACTAAAATATTAAGGAACACACAAGTGCACGCTTTGCCATGTTATACGGACACAAGCTAAGAAATGAATATGAAAGATAATGATGACTGCTGGAGAGGAGACACAAGAACGTGACACCATATTAAAACCTGCGAGTACTCGATACATACTGTTGGACATATATAAATACATTTTTATTTTCGTCACTCGAATAATATTCATGGCCATTTAATAATTTCTCTGAGCTTAGAGGTTAGTATTTATGAACGTTCTAAACATTTGAAATCTGTGATCGGTATATCTACTGCATGTAAAAAAGAAATGATGAGCATTTTCATTTGGATATCCACATGCACAAATAAGAGAGTTGATTAGGTTAACATTAAAGAGATCATCATTTAAAGGGCTGCATTTATGACGGAGTTTGGTTAGTAAAATATTTAACTTACGGTCACCGGCTAAATAAAAAAAACAGGCACTTTGAATGTTTTATTTTGTTTCTTGATGCAGTTTGTGAAGCTCTTATTAGAATGTGCAGTTTTAATATTAGTGTCAAGCTCATTCCATAATCTTAAAGTAGAAGGTATGAACGAGTTAAGTAAAGATTGTAAACGGAAATTAGGAATGGAATAGTTCTCAGAGTTTCTCAAATTATAAGGAGTTACAGTAGCTACTAGTGGCGGGAGAAGGTCAGTTAGGTAAGAGGGAGTCATATTGTTGTGAATTTTATAGAAAAATTGAAGGTTGCGGCGGGTGCGACGTTGAGACAAGAATTACCAACCAGTTTCGAAGTAAAGAGACGCTCTACTAGCAAAAGATGGCAGACCGGTAACAATACGCGCCGCTTCTAACTTGAGTTTTCTCTCCCTTTTAAAGTATTATCGGAGAAAACTGTAAACCAAAAACATATTCTTTCTTTTATCAGAAAATAAACTGTATATTTTCTACAACGTGATTTTGTTTTAATACAGAATAGTTTTGTAATTAAAAATATCTTAAAACAAAAATACTTACACAAGAGGAGTGAGACACACACATATATATATTTAACGCAGATATTTTAAGTCTTCATTACGGAAGACGTCAAGGTAAACATATTTAACCGGATGTGGTGTTGATCGTTTTTAAACCCGGACTTTTTTTCACTGAAATATGAATGTATGCAAGTCATGTTTGGTGAGCAACCTTCTTCTTCCCGGATCTACCGTAACGGCTTGGACGTTATCGGACGTTCACTGCCTATATAAACCGTGTTTGGGCTGAGATGTATCATTGCACGGCCACACACAGGTAGACACCATGGACTTGCTACTGTATACCTCCGTTATTGTCTGTTTTTTGTTCATGAAGTGCTGCAATACCGCCACCACGATAGATCCACCGGAAGCAGTGTATAGCTGGCCAATCCTCGAGTTCGATTGGAGAAGCGAGAACCAAACACAAGAATATATTGCTGATGCCAGGTTTATTCCTGAAAACAATCCGTTTACGGGGATCAAGGTTTACAAAGGGAAAACTTACGTCAACGTTCCAAGATGGCGATTAGGTGTACCATCTACACTCAACGTTGTGGTCGAGAAAAATGGTAAACCTTATCTTCAGCCATATCCTAGCTGGGAAATGCAAAGGGTTGGTGGTGATTGTAACTCATTTAAGTTTATACAGAGCATGGAGATTGATCCAAACACTGGACTTATGTGGATCATAGATACAGGACGTATAAACATTTTCCCCGCCCCGACGGGATCCCAGGACCCACAGAATCTGTGCCCGCCAAAACTCGTCATTTATGATCTGAACAATAACGTCACAGTTCTTAAATACGAGTTTCCAACGAATGTCGTGAACCCCACAACGACATTTCTCAACGATATAGTTCTGGATTATGTCGACGGGGAGGCGAGATTTGCTTATATAACGGACACTTTTGATTTCAAAATCGTCGTATATGACCGGAAACAGAATATATCTTATTTTATCCAGGACCTTCCATCCATGTCTCCGGAAAGTCCAACAGCTGGTGATATCACTGTAGGTAATATAAGTCTGTCAGTGGGAGTTCTAGGGATTAATGGAATAGCCATGTCGCCAGATTTCAAATACGTGTATTATGGACCAGTGGCAGGAGTTGGACTCCATCAAGTCCCAACGTCGCTTTTGCGCAAACGTGAAAGCAGCACCGCTACGTCATATCCGGAAATAAGGAAAGTGGGAGACAAATTTACACAATCTGACGGCATGCTGGCTACACAGGCCGGCCGAATCTATTTCCCGGCTTTGTCCGTTAACGCTCTGTGGAGATGGGACATGGAAAAAGATCGATTGGAACAGGGCGTGTCCGAAGGTGAGGTCATCATGCGAACGCAAACAGAAGTGGTCAAAAATGACGACACAATGCAATGGATTGACACTTTAGGGATCGATGAAAATGGTTGTATCTGGTTTACGGCCCCCGCTGTGCATCGCTGGATGACCGGAAACATGGACCTAACAGGCGCGAGCGGTGACAACTTCTATATATGGAAAGTGTGCGTGAATGAACTTGGGTACCTCCAAAACGCTGACGTCACTACGAAGGATTCATCTAATGGCGGGAATTCCCCTGCGGGTGGGATGTCTCTGTTTGTTCTAATAATGCATTTTATCAAACGGATAATTGCGCATGTCTAAGTTTTTAATTAATGACATGTCATTGGAATTCATATGGTCATTTTATTGTCATTATTGCATATTTCATTTAAAAAGCGTCCCAAAATATGTTTGTTTGATGTAACATATAGAATATATTTTATGTATAATTGTGTCATACAAAAGCTATTAATTCATTTTCAGTCAACATCTTCCATATATATAATACAATTACATATGTTTTTATCTGTTATTTTTACTTGTCTTTTACGTTTTCCATGACGATTTTATTAATAAAAATATTTTTAAAAATACCGTTTTTGTCAATATTTAGACAATCATATTCTGACTTTTGATATATTTACGCTGTTGAAATTGTACGTTTTCCTGAAGTGACTCTTCTTTGTGCAACTCAATGTTAATCTGCATAAGTAGTCGGTAGAAAACACAAAGGAAGTCTCCAGGGGAGGAGGCGGATTTTGGGGCTTATCATGGCAGCATATCTGTATATGTTTCTTTATGCTCAGCAATTGCATATATTGTATATATAAAAGGTATATAGGAGTTGGACCTCTACCATTTCCAAATGAAAGCCTTTGGGCAAAAAGCTTCCGTTTTTAGGGTTACAACAACTTTATTTCCACAAATTTTAATACCAGTCACATAAGAATAATTATAACACATGATCGATATCTATCGCATAGCTGCAGAGGAGAATACCCCCAAAAATCGTTTTAAGCAATTCGGTTGAAATAATCTCATAATTGGTCCGCCCCTCAGCCCCAAAGGGGAAGGGGTCGAGTGGGGTCATCCCCTCAATTTGTACCATTTTGAATCATGAAAACCGTAGTATACCTCCAGATATGGATGACAAACAACTCTTAGTTCCTCATTTCTAAAGAAGTTTATAAGCAATTTTGCCCTAAGCCGTGGGCAGTCAGTCTCTCCATTTGTATAAGTTTAAATTCCATCACATGAGAATGCTTCCAAACAAATATGGTTGACATTTACGTATTAATCAAGAGACGAAGAACCTAAAAGCAATATTGCAAAGTTATATGTTTTGCCCGAACTATCAGCCCCATACATTGGACCAGTATGGTGATTGTTTAGGGCCACAAACCGCTATTTTATAGAATAAATGTTTTTCGCCTTTCCACGAAATACAACAGAAATGACAGGACACCGTTTAGGAAAGTTAAACGGCGCACATTTTGGATTTGTCGCGACAATAAGATACAACTATGTTAAAAAATATCAGCGCTTTTTCACTATGTCACGGTGGCAAATATCTGCAGTTACCCACTGGCTGCATGATGGTAAGAGGCGATTAATGTGGGTGACTACAGAATTGTTTATTTGCGTTTGTGTGCTCTACTTTGGGACACAAAAAGCAACCAAAATAATTCTGCTGCATCTTTCTCTCTACTTCAAAATGCCTTCGGCTTTGTTTGGCGATGCCTCACTTTGACTTTTATGTTGAACGTTTCGCCTAGGTGAGGAGGAACAATGTTTTTTTTCCCCAGTCCGGGACCTACCAAAGTCCTTAAAATGGTAGTTGTTATTTCCTTCTTAACATTCAGCAATCAGGGTAATGGCAACAACTGGTTCACCTGTTGTCAGTATACTGTGACCGGGCTAAATGCTGTGCTGGGTGCGTTCGGCATGGTGTTTCTGTTCGATAGCTCTCAAGTCGGCACCAGATTCGCGCTATCACAAGGAGGCAAATATGCCAACATACCGTCCTCCAGCACACAAACACACATGCAAGCGTACACAACACACATGGAGGCACGTCCTCAAATGACCTTAGCTATTAATAGGACGTTTAACAAAATCTAATCAATTCAACCCTATGTCAGATAAAACATATTGATTTATTCAAATCTTAAATTATTTGTATTCTATGGTCTAGATTTTCTTGTGTAATGTATTTTCAACGTTCACTTTTCCTATTCTTTGTTCAAGCAAGGTCGTTTAATAGTAAATAATCTTCCTCTCTGGTTCACGCTTATTTCAACAAAAAAGAACAAAGGCATTTGATTTCTTTAAAATGATGATTGTTCGGAAGGAGTATCTACGATGTACTTATATAAACAATTATACTTGTAAAGCAGAGGATACACATATACAGGTAAACATGTGGTAAACATATACAGGTAAACATGTGGTAAACATATACAGGTAAACATGTGGTAAACATATACAGGTAAACAGGTAATAAACATGTGGTAAACATGTACAGGTAAACAGATGGTAAACATACACAGGTAAACAAGTAATAAACATGTGGTAAACATATACAGGTAAACAGATGATAAACATACACAGGTAAACAGGTAATAAACATGTGGTAAATATATACAGGTAAACAGGTGGTAAACATATACAGGTAAACAGGTCGAAAACATATACAGGTAAACAGGTGGTAAATATATACGGGTAAACAGGTGGTAAATATATACAGGTAAACAGGTGGTTAACAGATGGTAAACATATACAGATAAACAGGTAATAAACATGTGGTAAACATATACAGGTAAACATGTGGTAAACATATACATGTAAACAGGTAATAAACATGTGGTAAACATATGGTAAACATATACAGGTAAACAGGTGTTAAACATATACAGGTAAACAGGTGATAAACATATACAGGTAAACAGGTAACAAACATGTGGTAAACATATACAGGTAAACAGATGGTTAACAAATACAGGTAAACAGGTGGTAAATATATACAGGTAAACAGGTCGTAAACATTTACAGGCAGTAAACATTTACATGTAAATAGTTGGTAAACCTAAACAGGTAAACATGTGGTAAACATAAACAGGTAAAAAGGTAGTAAACATATACAGGTAAACGGATGGTAAACATATACAGGTAAACAGGTGGTAAACATATACAGGTAAACAGGTGGTAAACATATACAGGTGAACATATACAGGGAAACAGGTAATAAACATGTGGTAAACATATACAGGTAAACATGTGGTAAACATATACATGTAAACAGGTAATAAACATGTGGTAAACATATGGTAAACATATACAGGTAAACAGGTGGTAAATATATACGGGTAAACAGGTGGTAAATATATACAGGTAAACAGGTGGTAAACATATACAGGTAAACAGATGGTAAACATATACAGGTAAACAGATGGTTAACATGAACAGGTTAACAGGTGGTACACATATACAGGTAAACAGGTGGTAAACATATACAGGTAAACAGATGGTAAACATATACAGGTAAACAGATGGTTAACATATACAGGTAAACAGATGGTAAACATATACAGGTAAACAGGTAATAAATATGTGGTAAACATATACAGGTAAACAGATGGTAAACATGTACAGTTAAACAGGTGGTAAACATATATAGATAAGCAGGTGGTAAACATATACAGGTAAACAGGTGGTTAACATATACAGGTAAACAGGTGTTAAATATATACAGATAAACATATACAGGTTAACATATGTTAAACATATACAGGTAAACAGGTGGTAAACATATACAGGTAACCATATACAGGTAAAAATATACAGGTAAACATATACAGGTAAATAGGTGTTAAACATATACAGGTAAACAGGTGGTAAACATATACAGGTAAACAGATTGTTAACATATACGGGTACATGGTTCTCCCCAGAATTGTATTAAGCTGATATGTTTCATTTGCAATGGATGTTCAAGACGCTAAGCATTGTAGCATTTTCAACAATACCATATCAAATTAAGGGGAGATATCATAATGTAACTGTGGCCATTGATTTCTGTCTCTTTAAATAAGTACTTTTATTTACCAAACTTTCGTCGAATTTTAAAACAAAAGAAAAAAGAAAACAAACAAAATATGTTCTTTATGCATATATTTCAGCAATATAATTGTTTAGATATATTAATTTTAAAAAATACCTATGGAAAGAGGTGTATGGGTTTTGTTGTATCCTTCAGTATATTCTCATGAGACATTGTGACTTTTCGACTAAAGAACTAAGAGTTACTTCCCTTCCACTAAGACCACCCCCGCCAAAGCCTCAAATTTTCTTAGGAAAACTGGAGGTATACAGCAGCGCAAAGAGACACATAATCTATCAATTTCAGTGATTAGTGTGTGTGTATTTAAATATTCGTTCCCTGTATCTTATATAGTCAGTTACATGGACATAGAATTTTTCAATAATAAAATCAATTTACCTCAATTCAGCCAGATCGAATGATTTGAACAGCAAAAGGATTTCCGGAACTTCAAAAACTGTCTGGTTCACTGATTAAAACTAACGCTATAAGACTAACGCTATAAGATAAAGTATGTCAAATGTTAAGAAGAAAGAAAAGGAAAAAAGACAAAATGTTGGCTTCAAACATATGTAATTTTTGTAATTTAAATACATGCATGTATGTGATTTTTTTTTATTAATATGAATATATCATTTCTATACAAAACAAAACAGTGCATATATGACAAAATCTAATCTTGTTAGGATATTGAAATTTCTCAACAGGACGTTTTGCGAACTGAGTATTTAAAGTCGTTTATTATCTATATCTTTGTTATTTGTTTTTGTTTGTTGTTACATACAGGGAAGTTAATCATATCTCAAATCAGCTCTAATGTGTCATTAAACAAAAGCAGATGGCGTAGTCAGGCGTCTCCACTGGGCCTCACCTTCCATTCTTGATGCAAGTTTATCAAGTTGTATATACTTTTCGTTGCAATTCTGTTTCTGTTTCGGGTCTGTCACCAATTCTTATTAACCTAGGAAACGCGGCATTTCGATGTCTGGTCATGCGCACACTGACTACTAAAAGATGGTAGCGCATAACTCTCCTGACTTTATCTTAGAGGAAATGTTATAACATAATTGTTTTAAAACTAATGAAATTAAGTTCTTTCCTGCTTTCTTGATTCGGGATCCCCGTACCAATGCCAAAAACAGTTATGTTCTATGCATTGAAAACCTATTTTGCCGACATGGCTATAGTTTTGATTATTGAAAAAAATTGCAAGACTTTTATGAATTTTTGTTATAAAACCAAACAATTATCAATAACGAAGTTCAGGTCCCAGTTGTCCAACAATGTAATTAGCTTAATCACAGTTTAACGACATTTTTCAACATTAAATAATGTTGTCGATATACAAGGTATATTCTCACAATTTTGCATGTAAATTCATTTTACTTAATATTTGATATCTGGAAAGTTGTAACTAACTCAATGGCTTTGTCTTGAAGATACACAAAAATTAAAATTTGTGCTAATCACTGAATAAGCTAATCACCTTTCGAACAACTGGGCCCTGATTGAAAAAGACGGGACCTCAAATTGTTAACAGACTAGGCTACCTGGTCAACGGAAGTGTCCTGACCCAACTGAGTTACAGTTCTATCCCAAAGGAAAGTTATACTGTATCAGCGCAGTGAGACAGCGATTTATAAAATATAAACAAAAACGTAACCAAAACGATGACGACTGGGCCGAGTTTATGTCCCCATCCCCTTGATTTCAAGAAAAAAAACATAAGCGCCATATTGCCACCTGCAGCAGTTCAGCTTTGTGATTTAATAATTTAAAAAAAACGTATTTCAATACTGATTTTTAATCATACCTTTAAAGTCATTATATATATGGCATATAAAATCAATTATATTTCTTAAAATTATCTTTTATAAAACTTCTTTACAAGTGAGGATGAGGGTAACACTTAATTGTTTACTTATCGGCGATCGGGCCGATGAGGAGAAATATTTCTGACGGCAGGGTACTTCTTGATGCATAGTGGAGGAATTTCTTTTTTCAAAGTAAAGATTTCTAGTTAATTAATGTTAATGTTAAAGAGACAAAAACGGGTTTTTTTCTTGTGGAAAAAAAGGAAAGGAAAGGTGTGCCCTATACCCCTCAACCCAATTCTCGTTTCTGGATCCGCCAGCCGGATCAACCCATGATATATATTACAAGAAATGTCACTCCCTTACTAATGTGCATGGCAACTTCTATGTTAATTTGTAGTACTGAATTTCAACAATGAAATAGTTAAATGAGTACCGCGGTTAATTAGAAGGTACTTTTTATGGGTAACAGTTCCTTTAAAGGTATTGCAATATTTATTAGTGAGCATGTATGACTTGATAAAAAAAATGGGCCAACAATTTGAGAAAAACATCAATTAGAATTAATTGCCAATGGTTATTCTTCATTCTCTGTACATTGTCCCCTCTACCCCTAATGCTTAAAATGAGAATAAAAACTTGAAACTCGGGGTTTGCAAGTCACAAAATGAATGCGTATTTTTGGGTTTCCCGCAGTGAAAATCGCTGAGCCATTGGTTTAACACATGACGATAACAATATTTCGAGTGTCCATCTGACACATATACCGTTCTGAGAAATTAAAGATGACTTTGCACATTTATTTTTAGCACTGATGTGACATTAATGTCTATTTATAGATATATTAAAAAAACTTTTTGCGAATTAAGGAAAAAAAGTCAAACAAAAAAATGGACACATGTAAAAACATATTTCTTACTTATATCACAAAACTTAGATAAAACCATCAAAATCAATGTGTTCGGAAATATTGTCTTCGAATGGGAAAAGTATCGGCAAATCATTTTTGTTCTTATTTCTCGCCTGGGAAATTATTTTTGGGACCTTTCTACTATAGTCTATTCCATTTTCGGACTTTCCATAATTGAGATAATAAAACTGTAATCAACTTAACACGGTTACTGTTTAAACTATATACAGTAGTTAACGAAAGAGTATGCCAGTAATACAGTCACGCGCTAGGATTCTGAATTAATAGTTGGTCATTGAATGACGTCACTGGTCAGTGCCCGAGATAAATTACGGTAAATTACCGTGGTAACTCTCCACTCAAATGTACCGTAAATTATTGAGTTTATTTACTTCTTAATTTGACAATTTTATTATTTTCGTATATGAGTTAGTCTTCATTACATTTTTTCGTAATTCTAGTTAATTAAAACTATTTATGTTTTTATTGAATTGAAAAATTAGCGCCGCAAAATATACTGTGTGCTATTTCTGGAACGGGTTATAGGGCGGGAATCAGTTGTAAAGCCTTCATCGGACCGATGTCATACGATTGTTCCCGATTTCCTCGGTGTTTACCTGTGTGGTAACGACCGTTAAAATGAATACAGAACTCACAGAAGGTAACTAGGAAAGGTTTAAATAGCATTTTATTTCTTAATAACCGTCTAGAATAAGACATTTAGACGTAAAATTTATCCCGACAGATCGCGGACAGGAGGCAGTGTGACGTCACGAGAGCATCAACAAAGTTAGATCTGGTGGAGAACTGCATCACCTTCGAGGCTGTCAGAAAATTATCTTATTTATTTTCTGCAAGAAAAAATATTCCGGATGGTTGGGCATTGTTCAATTTCCAGGTCCATGAGTGCGCAAAAGACATCAATGTGTTTATCAGCTGATTTTGTTAAGAAGAATGTTCAATAATATCGGCGGGGGACCGCCATCTTGGACTTCCAGCTCTAGCGGGTTGCCAGATCGTAACAAAATTAACGAGGGTAGGCATTGTGATAGCGTGCATCGGGGATCAATCGATAGTGAGAAATCTGGGCTTTTCATTTTTTGTTTTCGTCAGTTTATTTATGCAGTATTATGAACGGTAGCAGTATTTTTTCGTTTGTGTATTGCACCCAACATGGCCCCGAAAAGTCAATCGGGCTCGATTATGCTGACTCGTGTTTACAACAATACCAATTAATTTTCTGAATCCACTGAGTCAAGGTCGCTAGTAGTCTCTCTTAATCTTCATACACGACTGTAAGCTCCTGCTTTGTGTCTGTGTGTGTTTATTTAGTTGAAAATGGCTCAGATCTCATCGTGATATATTTTTTTCATCCATTCGTTAATTTCGCCCTGGTCAACAAAACACTGTTTACGTGGTCGGACATAATCTGTTGAGAAGTTGCCCGGTAGAAGTCGAAAGGTGTTTTCGAGGTCAGCTGAGTGTTGGTGAATGTCTCGTGGTGTTCATATATCGATGTCATTTCATAGATCGGTGTGTATACAAATATTTGTTGTCAAAACAGGATAATATTTACATGAGGACCGGCCATGTTTATAACATAAGTATGCTGCAGAATTTGTAAATCACATTGATTATGCTGTAGATTAATTCTGCAGGGTCAGCATGCCACATACTTCATTCTTAATTGATCTTCAAATCCTTTCTTTTTTATTGCATTGCCATTGTTAAATCAATTATTGTGGAGATCTTTTTCTTTTGCATTGTATACAATCTGATGATCTACCTTTGACATTTTCTTTTCTTTCCTCACCTCCCCCGTCCCCCCCCCNTGCAGCTAAAATTTTACAGGTGTATATTAGGTCTGTCGCTATGTGGGAAGATGCCTTTTACAACATGTGCTGTTGTCAAACTACATAATTTGGAGATGAAGATGGAAATTTGTTTTGTCCCCAAACCAGGTTTATATATCGATGCAGCAAATTCCTGATTGTCAATCTGACAATCTTCTAACAGAGCTAAAGGGCTAAGTTCTAAAGCTGGAAGTCAAAGGTGACCATATATATACAATTTAAACCTGTCGCATTATACCCCCCTTTTAAAATACAGTTATTTGCACCGTTAACACCTCCTCCTCCCAATTGCCGACCCACACACACTTTCACCGTGGTCCAACAACAGCTCCCTGTCGTCGCAGAGGGGGACAGGGACACCAATCCATAATAAGAGAGGATAATTTTGCCTGAACAAGGAATTGAATATTGCTGATCCCTCAAACTTTTCATTCTAATACCCTTCCATTTGAGCTAATAGAAAACTGGCTGTCATTGAAATCTGCCACACTACTGTCCCCTCCTTCAAAATGTGTTTGCTACTCAAAAAAACACTTAACACCAAGTTCAATACCGTCACCACTGGGGAGGGCTGCCGTCACCCACCATTTTGTAGTAGAAGAGGGTAATGTTCCCACACACACACGCATAACGTTGAGTTCCAGCAAATTCCAACCCCCTGCCCCATCCCTCGGCTTCTTAAAATGTTTGGCCCCCCCCCATCATCACTTTCACACGAACGGCTAAGTCACTGTCGCCATATAGGGGAGGGGGCAGGGGATGCATGTGAAGAAGTGCATTTCCTATCATGCTAGAGGGGGACCATAATAAGCCTTTGTACCATTAATATTAATACCCGACACAAATATGTCCAGACATTCACCTGCAAAAAAAATGTGCACACCCAGCTGAAACTCTGTATGGAAAAAAAAAAAGGTATTGAATCCTAGTCGGTAGCTAACATTATAGAATTGATTAACGAGAACAACTCAAACCTCTATTTTCTCTTTGTTGGTGCAAGCAATCATTATGTTTTTTGTAGTGTCCAATTATTACCATTTCCCTTCTAGCTTGTACGTTTTGTGCGTCCAGATACTTGAATAATTTCAGGGTATTTCACTATTTCCTCAAAGTTGCAACAAATTCCTGATTTTGTTTTTGTGACCAAATGTTTGACATTTTCTGGTTTATGTTTTGGTTCTGGATCTGGCCTGGACAACTTACTGACGTTCTGTCTGCCTACAGTGGAGTCCTGTGTTATAAATGATAATCCCAATTTGGCCCATTGATGATAATTAATAATGCGAGGTTCTTATATAGATCACAACCTAGTTTGTAGGTCGTCTCAAAGCGCTTCACAAATTATCACCCGTGGTTATAGGGCATTCGCAACCAGCCAATATCTTTCTTAACTCCCTGAGGAGTATACAGCCAGTGCTGCCGTTTCGGCACTCACAGCTAGCATTCAACAATTCTAGCACTGCCCAACTAGGTACTCATTTACAGCTGATCAGTCGACTGGAACAAGCGGAGTAAATTATCTTGCTGTGACTCGAACCCGCAACCCTTTGGCCACGAGCCTAGCGTCCTGACACTAGACTGCTGTGCCTCCTATTCCGTCTTTGCGTATTGCAGAGTTATCTTCTCTTGGGAGCAGGGGTTGATTGTTACGTCATTGGTTTGTGTGAGAAAATTACGTCGTTTTCTCAAAAATTGATGACGTTACTCTCACAAACAAGTGACGTTACAATCAATACCTGCTCCCAAGAGAAAATAACCCTGCAATACGCAAAGACGGAATTCCATCCATTGCATATCAGTATAATCACGAACCTGGTAGTTTTGGGTCCAAACTTTCATCCTAACTTGCCCTAGAGGTACTAGATAATTGAATTAGTTCACAAGATAGAGAGTCATTTAGCTATTGAGGAAGTAATACTTTTTTCACTATTGAGAACCGGGGCCCGAATTCATGAAACCGTTGCTCAAGCATGAATTTTGTGCTCAAGTCTTAATTTCTTGTTTCGTTAATAAATTAATAATAAAATGTTATTTTGTCAATGGTGCAGGTAATAGAGCCAACACCGTTCGTTGTTACTTGGTTGGATCTGAGGGTCCTTTATCCTTCAGCTGGATACCCGGAAGTATGCAGGTTGATTGATCAGTAGAGCAAATCAGTAGAAGGTAACAATCACATCAGCATGAGGATAGGTTGCTTCAATTTATTAGGTATCTGTCGACCGGTTTCGCCCTTTGTCGGGCTTCTTCAGGACAAAATAAAAATTTCTTAACCCTTAAAGTACTAAAAATGCGGGCGCTCTATTCTATTAATAACATATTTGGCATTATGACGTCACGCCCCTGACATTTTAAACAGGCGAGATAACTCCTACGCATTTCTAAGTTCTTATCAAGTATTCTCATATTTATCCATGTCTATATCATCTCGGTAAATCCTTCACGGTTAGTGTTTAATTCTTTTATACACATCTGCACATACATATTGTTCTGTTTCTGCTTAACGCTTATTCTAGTTCGTCTAGACATAGTGTCTCCCTGGATTCCGATACATAATTGTATAATTTATAGTTCCTAGTTATTTCTTCCCCTCCAGGTTCTGAAGTACTGGGTGTAGACACTGACAACTCCCGAGTCGTTGCTCAATTCTAGGTCTTCCTTTAGTCTTTCTATCGCCTGATCCAAGACCGATCGTGATTTCTCAGCAGGTCCACCACTGATTATCTGCCGTCCCGGGATGTTCCAAAATTTCACTAGGTCTAGTTATTTCTTAGTTAATGATTCAAATGGTCTTTCGTTTGATGGTTTCTTTGCGTCTTCCTTGGTGGTGTCCTTTATCACTTCAGGTTCAATCCTATAGGTTGTGTGTTCCTTATGACCTTTTGCCGATTTTACATTGATGCCATGTCTAAATGGCTGAATGTGCAGTGTTAGCGTGTCCTTAAGTTCCTAATATTTGTGTACGTTCTGCCACAGCGTATACAAGGTATGCATCTCATAGTACCCTGTTTGTGCGGTGTGTTTTTAGTCTTTGGGATACTATGTGATTATGTTCAATCCCTCTGGTTGTTGAGTACGTAGTAATTATAATCTGATGAAGCTCTCCTCCAGACTTAGCCGGCGGTTAATGTCGTGTACGTCCGTTGCTAAGCCAACAACCATGACGTCACTGGTATTGTGAATAGACGTACTGAAATGTTCGCCACGGGTTTGTCCAGGTCCGGGTTTGTGATTGAATATAGATGATTCCTGATACGTGTATTAATAGTCGTTGACCTCTGATCGACATATTGTATACCGCATTTCCTACATGTGATTAAATATAACGCGATTGTACTCGGACACGTAATACTTCCCATTATCTTGTGTGTTTCTTTAGTCAAATAGCTAGTGAATGTTTTACTTGGTATCATGTGGTTACAAATCCTGCAATCACGTTCGCATGGAGCGTTCCCGTTCTCTGGGGCCATGCTACGGTTAATATCACTTCTAACCAGAATGTCCCTTATGGATTTTAATTTGGTGCAGGCTACCAACATAATGTACTCCTGTAAATGTTTGGTTCCTGGACCTTGTCCGAGGATGTGTTTGTACTGTTTCAAACATTTCTGTATTGCCCGATTTAGTGGATTATACGGCAATACAAACGGTAAAACTCTGCGTTCCGTGACTTTGTTCGGTGGGTTTAGGAGATTATTTCTGGGTATATTGCTTGCTTTTTCGATAGCTTCTTTGATCGCTTGCTCAGGATACCCCCTCTTTGTCAATGATACAGATTTCTTTTTTTTAAGAGACTTAATGCCAAATACTGTTTTCAATGTTTACATTTAACTTTACGATAACAGTTTCATGAATATGAGCCCAGGTATATTTGTTGGTGGGGTGTTATGGTCATATGAAGACGGGAAGATTCAAGTGTACAAGGCCAGATCAAAATAGGTTATAATGAATGAATGAAATATTATGTAAGTGTTGGACATAGATTTTGCATTGAGTCTTATCTTCATGTACATATGCTGTATGTATGTAACAAATTTAACTCGGGCAGTTGGCATTGTGTCAACTTCCTATATGAATCAATATAGGGCATGCAATAGTCGACGATGGTGGTGAATTTCAGTCGAGTTATGGGAAAATGGTAGGTCTTTGATCAGATTAAATTGGAATGATTCTGTTTTTGTCTGGACATGCAATGGACGATGTCTTCAGTAGACCGACAATAACCAACAAGGGTTGGCCTATTGGCATGTCTTCATAAAAAGCTTGCAATGAAGATTAGGACTTATTTGTTTCGTGTTAAAATCATATATGGACACATTTGTTTTCATGTAATGTATATATATTTGACGAAGGTTGACAATTCAACAGAAAATGATACATGTTATCAAAGACTGCAGTTTGCCCTTTCCCTGAAGTGCCCAGATCGTATTGTTTTATAAGCCGCAGACAAGAAGTCAAATTCTTTTTAGCTCAAAGTAAAAAAGAAATCATTTAGTTTCAGAATAGAGGCATCCCCCCCCCCCCCCCCCCCCCCAAAAAAAATAAAACCCTGAGAGTCCAGCACTACATATTCTGCTTTATAGAAATCATGGATGGTGCCTTGGAGATACAGACATGAACCAATGCTGTAAAGTATTGATTATTACCTTGAGTGGCAGTGTAATTCATTGTTGGGTAACAAGAAATGTGGGTGAATAAATCGCCCATTCATGCTCTGGTCAAAACTGTCACATGATTACAGACACGGTGTACCATTCAACATTACAGTGATAATGGCTCGGTTGGGCAGTGAGTCTCGTTTGAGGTCACTATATCTGACCTTTCAGTTGTGTTTTTGCTTTGAACTCTAAAGTGTCACTTTCTGACCTTAAAGTTTTGTCATGGATGTTCAAGGTGATGTTGCGTAACCTGTACATCCCTCCCATTATAAACCTTTGGTGGCTGCCTTCGACTTTCTTCAGTTGTTTCCTGTTTCAGACCCCTCGGTCAATCTCCCTGACCTGTAAGACGTTTCTTGTTTTAATGTCAAGGTCACTGCTGTAGACCTTGAGTTTGGTTCCTGTTCAATTCACGGTCACCCTTCGTGATATTTATGGGTTTTTTCCTGACACCAACAGGGAAATCCTGGAATTTGAGACCAGTGGGCCATTTCAGCAATTTTTAGTCAATATCCAATTTAAGAGGGGTCATTCTATGTAAAATAAAAACAAAAAATTGGAACCTTGAGGGGTCAATTTAAGTTTTGAGGGGTCAATGACCCCATGGCCCCTTCCAGAATTATCCCTGCACCAATCAAATAGCTTGCCTTCAATTTTGCTATGACATATTCCAGGGGCGAGATCTAGCAAAAGTGAGGTTAACAGGACCCTGGAGTATCTAGTATGCTAGGACCCGGGCTCACTGCTCCGCTGACCTGCTCATCTTGTTCCAACTCTCAGTCACTGCCCTGTGTACTGTCACTGTTTCTTTTTATCTGGTGTCCACTCCACATGTAGTGTATATGTCATCTCTTATCACATAATCGGCCTGTTATCCAGTGAATTCGCCCATGTAATATTTTTACATATATCACTAGTGTAATATACCCTGGAGCGTTTTTCATTGGCTGTGCCAGTCAGAAATCGATTGTGATGTCATAATATGTACAATGACGTGACGTAACAAATTGTGAATGGCGCAACAAAATGTCTGTCTCCGTTTGATTAAGCCCTCTACATTTTGGCTTTAAAACCTGTCAAAATGTAACTCAGTTACGTGATAAAAAGTACATTGTTTTCCGGAAAATTGTATACTAGTGTTGCAAAAGTATGATAAATTATTTGTCAGTCATGGTTATGTGAGAACTTGAAAATGATTATACATGGGTGTATATTTGCTTATTTAGAGTACTAGCCCACAGTCAGATTTTGATTTTTTTTTACAGCCAAACCATTGCAAATTTGTACTAGCCTTGACATAAAATCTTCGAGGCCCTGGCCTCTGGCTAGTAGAATTGTACATCGCTGATTTGGTCACAAAGTTATGTTGAAATCAGAAGGTTGCCATTGATCTGTGTCAAGTTCGATTTCAGAGTCACACAAATGTGGCAATCTTGACCTTGGTTTGGTTTAGTATTGCTTAACGTCCTTTCAACAGCTATGGTCATTTAAGGACGGCCTCTCCAGTGTGCAAGATGTATGCGTGTGTGTTTTGGGAGGCTGGGATATGTTCGTGTTCATCTCCTTGTGATAGTACGGAACTGATGCCGACTTTTTAGTGCTACCTCACTGAAACATACTTCCGAAGACATGCAGCAGGACCCCCGCCCAGTCATTATACTGACAACGAGCGAACCAGTCGCCCCACTCCTAAATTGCTGTCGGCGTTGAGCAGGAGTAGAAACTACCATTTTTACAGACTCTGGTATGTCTCAGCCAGAACCCAAAGCCTTTCTCACAGGGGTGAATGCTCAACTAAAGGCCAAAAGTGAGGCATTGTCAAGGGAGACATTAGCAAGAAGAAAAATGTTAAGAAAGATAAGATAAGATCCCAAATTTAGTTGCCCCTTACGATCTTGCAATGGGGGCAGCAGGTACAGTTCTTACGCCCTACCCGCAGGGACTGCTATATTGACCATGGCAGTAATGCAAGCATTTGGCAAATTTACTAGCTTAGAATTTGATAGAAATATGTAATTTATAAACCAACTGATAGAATTAATCACAATATTTTGTTGTTTTTCAGCTGTCAACAACAGCATGGAAAATGTAAACCTACAAAGCCTGGACCCAAGAAAACAAGAACTGTTAGAAGCCAGGTTCTATGGAAGTAGGGTAAGATTCTCAGTCTGTTGGTAAGCCAGTTTCATGGACATATGGCAAGATTCCTGTCTACCCGCCCGGGAGTCTGGTTCTTTGTAATGAATATGATCTGCATCTTCTTGAGTATTTGGCAGGACCAATGATTATTGCAGATCTAGATTGATGGCATACATATCTTTTTTAATCACTCTGATTGTCATTTGGAGCTCGGGCCCTTGCAAATTGGCTTTGTCATCAGGATATCAGTTACATACTTCTATAGTTTCACTTAAAGATTTATGTCTAAACTACACAACCTGCTGTAGCATATTAATTATTATGCACATGTGCAAGGCTGCAATTGTGCAAGTTTCCAAAAGGATACAGAGTATTTATAGCTCTAGTGCAATCCATCAAAACATATCAAGAGCTATGATCTGTACTAGCAGCTACATATTGGCTTGGCTGTTTGTTATGAATTAGGAGCCAATAGACCGAGTCATTGTTCAGTACAATGGTCTACAACAGATTGAAAATGATCCCAAAAATGGTTAGATCCTGGTAAAATTTAACTAGTTCTTATCACTGATTCTGGTAACATTACAAGATATATGTCTCAGTGGCGGATCCAGACACCTATCTGGGAGGGTTTCCAAATTTCCTGGGGGGGTGTCCATGTGGGGAAAAATTGAGGAAAGTGGTGAAAATACATGATTTTTAAAGAAAATTCTCAGGTTGGGGGGTTTCCTGAAGCCCAAAAAACCCCTCTGGATCCGCCACTGTGTCTTGTCTGAGATGCTTGACTGTTCTCGTAAAATGACTTGTATATGATTATGCTTTTCCTCATTTCCATTACTTGTTCATTGTTAATTTTCGTTTCAGTTTCAGCCTCTGAACATTACACAACAGCAGGACAACAGTAACCTTAGCGCAGGCTCCGCGGAGAGGGATGACGAGGTAATACCCTGAGAGTGCCATCACCTTTTACACAGATTTCTCCAACCATTCACTAAATTGTCTCATGTGTTTCTCTGTCGGCCCATGCTTTTTAATTTGCGTGCAATAATTTCCCGAGGTCACAAGGCCCCTATCAAAAATAGGTAGAAAATCACTGAATGCATGACGGCAAAATCATTGGGAGATGTCCATTTTGAATCTAACGTGTGATTCTACTGTCGGCAGAGTTGTGACTGAAATAATCAGGAGGGTGGAAAAAAATCATTCCCTACATTGAGGATGGAACAGAAATCTCCAACCTTCAGGATGATAATTTGGTGGTCTAACCCTCAGTAGAGCCTCGGTTTAGACCACCGATAAAATCGCCCCTTGGGGTGGAGATTTCTCTGTCACGCCCTAAAGGAAGGGAAAGATTCTGTTTGTCTACCTTTAATTTATTACAACAGAATCTCCGTAATTTGGTGACATACATTTTCTGGAAAATAAACAAAATAACAGTTTGGTAAACAGTAGCCAGGCTGCCAAGAATCTGTCACTAGAAAGCCCCTTGGACTGTTTAACCCTTTCACCCCTGATTAACTCTTGTACACTCTTCCATCCTTTGATCTGAACAACTCCATAATTGGTCTTGAGGGGTCAAGCAGTTAAAAATATTTCTTGCATATATTTTTCACCGAAAAAATGGTAATTTGTTGAAATTTCATGGTAAACAAGCTTCAAAATCTTCCAGGGCATTTGGTCAGTGTTTGGTATTGATCAGCCTAAACGTGTCTTGACAGGACCACATTTTAACAGTGCTACTAAAACATTTGCTGGGACACAAAAACACTAATGTAACTAATGTTACAGAGTTGATTTAATAATAATAATAATATAATTATATATCGCTTTGTCACAACCTAGTTCGTAGGTCGTCTCAAAGCGGTTCACAAATTATTATCCGTGGTTATAAGGCCTTTGCAACCAGCCAATATCTTTCTCAACTCCCTGGGGAGCATACAGCCAGTGCTGACATTTCGGCGCTAACAGCTAGCAGTCAACAATTCTAGCACTGCCCAACCACGTACTCATTTACAGCTGAGTAGACTGGAGCAAGCAGAGTTAAGTATCTTGCTCATAGATACAACACGGTGCCTAGAAACACGATGTCAGAAGTTGAAGTGGCAAACAAAACGAAACTCTACTCAGATTTGGGTTTGATGTTTTAGTATCAAAAAATACAACTATTGCCATATAAATACCTATAACAATAACATTGGACACATTTTAACATTGATCTTGATGACTCAAAATATTTGGAAAAACATTTGGGCAGCTCAAAATGCATTTTTGTCTATTGTATCTTCATCCATCCTCTGTCTTCAAACAGTTTTTATCGCTATTTTTTTAAGAAAGAAATGCTTGAAAGGTTTTTCAAAAACTAGCACTCTGTAGTAACTTTGAGACTTACCGCAAGAACAAACATGTTTTAACACTTAAGTCTACTATTGCAATTTCTTAGAAAATCTTTAAGGCATCTTTTTCAAGGTCTGTCTTTGTCCTTAATTATTCATGGTCAGTTTTAAAACATATCAGAAGAACAATTTGGCTGCCAGGTAGCTATCTTGGATTTTGACTTGAACATCTTTTTTCACTGTTCAAAATGTGCTTGACAGATCTTCTTATATGTTGCATTTATGTTACCCTTGGTCCAGATCCATATTTGTGCGTGTTCAGCTTTTGAGATTGATCACAAAAACAAAGTGGCTGCCAGGCAGTCGTCTTTAATTTGACCATAAAATGTTAATTTAATTTCTCAGAAAGTTCTGTAGCAGGGATCTTTCTTGAATTTCATCAGGTCCACTACTTACAATTTAGTTGAAATGATGATTGTAGTTGTAAAGATAGAATCTAATTTTGATTTTTACATTGTTTTTCCAGCTAATCGGGGTGGTCCACACGCCAGAGAAGCATGCTCGGACACCTTCTGAGAGGAAAAGAAAACGAAAGGCCACCAGTGAAGGCACCGAAAGCAGTAAGTCACAGCCACTGTAGTGATTGTCTACCTGATATATGAGTTCTTCAGCAGCTGTAGTGATCGTCTACCTGATATACGAGTTCTTCAGCAGCTGTAGTGGATCAGTGTTAGTTTAGTACTGGGTTCACCTCAATTGGCATCAAATTCCCAGGAGCTCCTTCTTCTCAAGTCACTCCTTTGAAAAAAGGGGAGACTTACTGTATTAGTACTGGTTTTTCTGCCTTTTTTGCTAATATTTTGTCAGGGTCGTTAGTTATGAATCGTTGCAGATATCTTTATGAAATTTGAAGTATGAATGCTTCACTCGCAGAAGGTGTGTAGTGCACTGTAGGTAGGTCACATTGACCCCCCAGGTCCAACTCAAAAAGTGTAAAAGTTTTATGAAGTTTTGTCTGTGCCATAACAGTTAACCCATTAAAGATATATCTTCATAAAACTTGAAGTGTACCTGCATCCTTCACAGATGGTGTGCAATGTACTGCTATGTCACCGTGGCCTTGACCTCAAAGTTTAAGGTCAAGAAAGTTCAAAATTTTCAAGAAAGACTTCTCTTGGCTGTTGATTTTAAACCTTTGCAGATTGTTTTTTAGCTCACCTGCCCGAAGGGAAAGTGAGCTTATGTCATAGTGCGGCGTCCGTTGTCTGTCTGTCGTACGTCTGTCATTGTCCGTCAACTTTTCCTTAAAACAACTTTTTCTGAAGAACAAACAGGCATAGAGCCCGACAAAATTTGAGAACGAAAATGATCTTGACTTACTTTAAAGGTCATAGGGGTCAAATTTGTCAAACACTTCAAACGACTTCTTCCGAAGAACTGAAAGGTATAGAACCTTTAAATTTGGCTGGTGGCTTCCTGATATAGAGCCAAACAAAGTTTGAGAATGAAATGACCTTGAGCCAAACAAAGTTTGAGAATGAAATGACCTTGACCTACCATCAAGGTCATAGGGGTCAAATGTGTCAAACATTTCAAACGACTTCTTCTGAAGAACTGACAGGTATAGAATCTTCAAATTTGGCTGGTGGCTTTCTGGGATAGAGCCAAACAAAGTTTGAGAATGAAAATGACCTTGACCTACTTTCAAGGTCACAGGGGTTAAATTTGTCTAACTCTTCAAACGACCTCTTCTGAAGAACTGAAAGGTATAGAATCTTTATATTTGGCTATTGGCTTCCTGAGATAGAGCCCGACAAAGTTTGAGAATGAAAGTGACCTTGACCTACTTTCAAGGTCACAGGGGTTAAATTTGTCAAACTCTTCAAACGACCTCTTCTGAAGAACTGAAAGTTATAGAATCTTTATATTTGGCTGTTGGCTTCCTGAGATAGAGCCCGACAAAGTTTGAGAATGGAAAATACCTTGACCAACTTTCAAGGTCACAGTTGTCAAATATGTCAAAAACATTGAACGACTTCTTCTAAATAATCGAAAGGCATAAAATTACAATATTTGGCTGTTAGCTTTCTGGGATAGAGCTTACCAAAGTTTGCAAATGACAATGACCTCAACCTACTTGAACCACAGAGGTCAACAACATTTCAAAGGATTTGTTCTGAAGAACCAAAAGAAATGGATTCATAAGATTTGGCTGGTAGATTTTTGGGATAAAGCTAACAAAGTTTGAGAAGGAAAATGACATTGACCTACTTACAAGATCAAAGGGGAAAATATGTCAAACAACTTCTGAAAAAGAACAAAAAAGCATAGAATCTTGTAATATTTGGCTGGTGGTTTCAACAGATGGAGCTGACAAAGTTTACGAGGGAAATATTTGAAGTGCAATATAACATTTAATGAGAATATTTGCTATGACTGCTTAAATATTCAGGTGAGCGATACAGGCCCTTTTGAGCCTCTTGTATTAAAACTGAAATTAACCTGCATCACCAATAGAAGGTAAATAGGTCACTATGTATGTAGGTCATTGTGACCTTCACCTTTACTGGGTCAAAGGTCAACATTGAAACTTCAAGCATATCTGCATCACCCTCAAAAATGTGCAGTACATTGAAATCAGGTCATGATGACCTTCACCTCTAGGTCAAAGGTCGAACAAGTGCAAAATGTAAATTGAATCTAACCTGGGCAATAAATTGATTAATCCCAGCCATTTTAAATGTTTTTGTTGCTACTTCTCGTGAACAGAAAGTCCTTTTGACAACAGCTATAATAGTATAAAATAAGCAGAGCTGCCAACCAATATGATTTAAGCATAATATTGATGTTTTTGTACATTATACAAATCATTCAAGTAGTGCTGTTCTGATTAATTAATTTAGTCAACTTCTGGTCGTTTGTTTCTGAAACTTGACTAATTTTAGCGTTAACACGAAATAAACTTGGATACTGTTACTCGCAACTTTTGCCAAATCCAAATGATATTTTCCCCAATTCCATCTAGGGGGCCGTCTCCCAAAACAGCTGGCTAAAACCCTGCAAGTTTAGGTGATTCAGTAGTCCTTGTTGAAGTCTACTAAGTCTTGGACTAGAGGACTAGTGATATAGTCGAACCCTTGCCCTATAGAACTAAGATTAATTTCATTAAGATGATGATCATGATGGCAAAACAAAGCCAAGAGAAAGAAAACTTGACACAGACTTATTTGTTTATGCTAACATGATGATATTGCAAAACAAAATCATGAGAAGGAATATTGACATTGCAGAGAAAGAATCTCACCACTTGTCGTCGGTAATCTCGGGCAGTGTTCACACAATTACAGAGAAAGAATCTCACCACTTGTCATCGGTAATCTCGGGCAGTGTACACACAATTACAGAGAAAGAATCTCACCGCTTGTCGTCGGTAATCTCGGGCAGTGTACACACAGTTACACAGAAAGAATCTCACCACTTGTCGTCGGTAATCTCGGGCCGTGTACACACAATTACAGAGAAAGAATCTCACCACTTGTTGTCGGTAATCTCGGGCAGTGTACACACAAATACAGAGAAAGAATCTCACCGCTTGTCGTCGGTAATCTCGGGCAGTGTACACACAGTTACAGAGAAAGAATCTCACCACTTGTCGTCAGTAATCTCGGGCAGTGTACACGCAATTACAAAGAAAGAATCTCACCACTTGTCCGTAATCTCGGGCAGTGTACACACAGTTACAGAGAAAGAATCTCACCACTTGTCGTCGGTAATCTCGGGCAGTGTACACACAGGTACAGAGAAAAAATCTCACCACTTGTCGTCGGTAATCGCGGGCAGTGTACACACAAGTACAGAGAAAGAATCTCACCACTTGTTGTCAGTAATCTCGGGCAGTGTACACACAATTACAGAGAAAGAATCTCCCCACTTGTTGTCAGTAATCTCGGGCAGTTTACACACAATTACAGAGAAAGAATCTCCCCACTTGTTGTCAGTAATCTCGGGCAGTTTACACACAATTACAGAGAAAGAATCTCACAACTTGTCATCGGTAATCTCGGGCAGCGTACACACAATTACAGAGAAAGAATCTCACCACTTGTCATCGGTAATCTCGGGCAGTGTACACACATTTGCTCATTATGGCAATGATATTCGAAAAACACTACTTGAAACAGTGGAAACTGATTGGTATAAGAAAATGAAAAGTTCAAGGCATTTATGAAAATGAAAAGCTAGACTCAAAGTTCATTACCTTGGTTACATTTTGGCAGTACCATTGCAGACCAGCTCCATGGTCAGGTAGGTTCCTTCTTCATTGGTCGTTTTGGCGCTTCCATGACGGCCTCCCGAAAGTGCGCCGGCTGAGGTGATCAGTCTCAACCTTGAACTGGTCAGCTTCGTCGCCATGTTTGCGGGCAGTCTGCTGCAGTGAACACAGCTTACACTGTCCATAACCTGCGATGTAAAGTTCATTGCCACTGCTACACACATCACTAACTTGCCCTCTTCAACTCTCTGTCTCGAACCCTCTAAATCCACAGGGACGATGTTTCTGCTTCCCTGCCTGCTTTCCGTCTTCCCTCCTGACCGGTTACACCAAGAGTACCCATATCTCTCCATAATGAGTGCCCCGCAAAACCTCTGCGGCCAACTTCAACAGGCATGCACCATGATAGAATCATTTTTGTCCGATACAAAGATGGAAAACTCCATGATCAGTGATGGACCAATGCTGATAGGTTGGTTGTTGTCATTGATCTTGTAACGTAACAAACTGTCATACCAGTACATAATTAGCCCTATTTATTGGACTGCTGCAGGATTGTTTCCAAAAAATGTTTTAGGAATCAGAGATCTATAGTAAAAAGATAAATATATTCATGCAAAACCTCAGCAACTGTTGATGACAAGACAGCTTCAGCGATAAAAAAAACGCTGTGAGTGATTTGTTGTGGTCCAGCAACTGTTGATGACAAGACAGCTTCAGCGATGAAAAAAACGCTGTGAGTGATTTGTTGTGGTCCTGTCTTCTTTGATATAACAAATGCTCAATTTACCTACTGATTGGAGCAATGCATCCTCGATACCAAGGGGCTAAGTTCACTTTCGCTCTCTGCACCCCTGGAATAGGTCATGACAAAATTGAAGGCACCCGGCTAGCTATTTGATTGGTGTCGGGTAGAAAAACAACTGACTAATCACTAGGCTGATTCTTGTCCTTTGAAGATAACAGAGGAGGGATGCCTGACTTCAAAGCAAATAAGTTTTCAGGAGCAACGCCTGACTTCAAAGCCAATAAGTTTTACCTTCATGCCACCGTCAGATTCTTTTGATGTACATCGAAGGATCAAACTAGCCTTTTTGATGTACATGAAAGGATCAAACTAGCCTTCTCGTCTCACCAATAGTCTCACCAATAGCACGGTGTGCACTAGAGCCTTTGATTTTGCTACCACATATTCCAGGGGTGCAGAGAGTAAAAAGTGAGCCTAACCTCCTGGATATGGAGGAAGGGAGCAATGATGTGGGCAGTTAACTTTACCCTATTGTGGTTTCATATCTTGATGATATTTATCCTAATTTAGTAGGAAATATCAAGAAGTAAAAACAGTAT